CCTTTTGCCCACTGCTTGAAGGAATCTTCTCTTTTGTTATCTTCTCCTTTATACAAGTTTCCCAAGGAGCTCTAGCCAGGAAGCAAACTGTCTACCAGCATCTTGAACATTAACACTTCTACAAAGGAGTTTGTAGCAAGAACCCTGGATAAGCAACTGGAGTTAGGGTAAGGGAAAGACAGCACAAAGCCCAAAGGAGTATTTCCACCAATGCTCCTATATTATTACTAGTATTAATAAATGGCTAATATTTTAAAGCATTACTCTTTATTCATGTGGCTCATCAAGTTGAATTCTTAAAATTTCACCCTATTTTAAAGACCAGACAATTAAAACAGCTTTCTCAGTAAAAGAGGAGCAGTGCTGGTATTAGAATCTGAGTCTTTGGGGTCCAAAAATTCAAGTCCTATGCTATTTTTCTTTCCTATAGGGTGCTTCACTTTGAGCACAGTGAGCTGCCAGGATAGGTTAGCTGCAGCACGAGCTCCCAGAGAGTGCAATGAATTCATCCATGGAATGCCACTGCTTGGAGTTCTCCATCTGGTTGTCAGAGTGCATTTGCCAAGACTCAAGAACAACAATGCTGCTTTGGGCGTAATTAATGTTTAGACAATGTGGGGCAGCATGGTCAGCTACTTCTTGAGGTCACTCCTGAGTATGAACGGAGCTGTGTGTTGCCGTAAACAGGATGTTTGTTTTCTCTCTGGTCTATCAGGAGGCCATTATGTCGGTCATGTAAAAGTCATATGAAACTGCTCAGGTGAAGATTCAGAAAGGGGAAGCATATAGGCTGGACTTAGTTTTGTGCTCTCTGAAATATAGAACTGACATATCTGAAATCCATTTCTACTCAGTATGATTCCTGATGTAGTACCATAATAAAGGTCTGATAGACCATCTACAAACTCCTCGATCTGTTTTTAAAAAGAATAGTGTGGCCCATAAATGGCTCCTATTTATGGAATCAAAAGTTGACACAATCAGTGAATCAATGCATAGTCATTATGGCCCTACTACCTGCCCTGCCTCTGACCATGATGGATGATTTAGAGACAAGTAGAGGTCTCTTTACTCAAGCTGTTCATATTATGCCTCAGGAGACTTGCAAATGTTATAAGCATCAGAATCACCATGAAGCTTGTCAAAGACAGAGCTCAGAGACAGAGACAGAGACAGAGACAGAGACAGAGACAGAGACAGAGACAGAGACAGAGACAGAGACAGAGACAGAGACAGAGACAGAGACAGAGACAGAGACAGAGACAGAGACAGAGACAGAGACAGAGACAGAGACAGAGACAGAGACAGAGACACAGAGACAGACCAACACCGACACATACACGTGCACACATACAGATTTTTTTTAAAAAATTCATTATATTTATTTAACTACTTTAAAAGGTGCTCCCTCTAGGTAATGCTGGCCAGATAAACATTCCATGACATATGCAACTATGGCAAGATACTACAACAGATAGCCATTATAGGCCAGTTTTCACTCCAGGTGAAATTTATCAGGAATAAGGATGAGTTTTTTTTTTAACTAAAAACATTGATAACATGCAAATTGTTTCCCCCTTTGATTTAAAGGGCTATCAAATTCCACACACTGACAAAGGAAGCAATGTAGTCACATAGGTAACACTTCTGCTAACTGCTTCTACTTTACTTCCTCTGCTGCACACTTGGCTATACAATTTTCTAGATTGCACCATGGTTTTGATGCCAGCCTACTGTAAGTGACTAAAACGAAGTGGTTTTGGTAAAGCTGACATTGACTCCTGTGTGATCCTAACAATAGAGAGAAATGACTATAGGAGCCATTGTGAGTTAATGTGAAAGAAATAAGTCATCACACACCTTTTTTTTTTCTTTTGAGACGGGGTCTCACTATGCAGCCCTAGCTAGACTAAAACTCACTATGTATTCCAGGCTGGCCTGGAACTCATAGAGATGCCCCTGCCTCCAGAGGGCTGGGCCTAAAGGTGTGCACCACCATATGTGATTCAAATATCTTTCTATTTAATAAGCTCCTTGGGTGATTCAGGTATGCAGTTGATATTTTGATAATTTAAACTGCTACAATAGAAAGCATCTCAGGAAGTATTTACTGAGGATATAAATATAGGGCTGGAGAGATGGCTCAGAGGTTAAGAGCACTGACTGCTCTTCCAGAGGTCCTGAGTTCAATTCCCAGCAACCACATGGTGGCTCACAACCATCTACAATGAGATCTGGTGCCCTCTTCTGTTGTGAAGGCATGCATGCAGGCAGAATACCGTATACATAATAAGTAAAATCTTTTTTTTTTTTTTGGTTTTTTGAGCCAAGGTTTCTCTGTGGCTTTGGAAGCTGTCCTGGAACTAGCTCTTGTAGACCAGGCTGGTCTTGAACTCACAGAGATCCACCTGCCTCTGCCTCCTGAGTGCTGGGATGAAAGGTGTGTGCCACCAATGCCCGGCAAAATCTTTTTTAAAGGAAAATAAAAATATACAGGAGCTATATAGGTTTTTTGTGTGTGTACCTACATATTCATTAGTCTCATGTGCATATGTGTTGTCAGTGTACCTGCTGATAATTTATTAGTTTAAAATAATAATTAACATTTATTGAGCATCTTTATGCATCAGACACCATTAATTCACTCAACAAATCTTTGTTAAGAACCTACTATGGGGGCGCTGGAAAGATGGCTCAGTGGTTAAGAGCATTGACTGCTTTTCAGGAGGACTCAGATTCAATTCCCAGCTCACAAATGTCTGTAACTCCAGTTCCAGGGGATCTGACACCAATGCACATAAAATTAAAAATATAAATTAATAAAAAAGAATCTACTATGGTCAGGTACTATTCATCAGAAAATGAAAACAGCCATACTGGTTATGGTGGTGCACACCTGTAATCCCCAAACTTGGAAAAATGAGGCAAGCAGATCTCAAGTTAAAAGTCAGCCTGAGCTATACATTGAGTCCCCACCCCACAAAATATAGTCTATACAATTATATGCACTGCATAATACTTGGTAATGATAGGAAACAACTATCTTATTGGCTTAACTATTTATTATACTATACTTTTTGTGTTTGAGGCAGGGTTTTGTTATGTATCCTAGGCTGGCCTCAAATTCATGATCCTCCTGCCTTAGCCTCCCTGGTCCTGGGATTGTAGGTATGTACCACCAAACCCTTGTTATACTCTATTTTCCATTGTTAATTTAGGATATACCTACTTATTTAAATAGCTTACTATAAAACATTATTCATTCTTACATGGGTAGCAGCCCTGTGTATCTTATACTTACTAGGCCTCTTGGTTGTATCAAAAGGTAACATCTAGTTATGGACCTGTACCATCTAAGTTTGTATAAATGCATGCTTCACTGTTTGCACAGTCATGAAATCAACTAGCAATGAACTTCTCAGAACTTTCCCTTGTTACTAAGTGACACATGACTATTATTGACATAATATTTGTGTATATTTATTAACTACAATTCGATGTTTTGATCTATATATACATGATAGAAATCAAGGTAATTATATAGTAATTATATCCATATGATAACATATCCACCACCTTACAGATTTCACTTTTGTTGTTGTTGTTGTTGTTGTTGTTGTTGTTGTTGTTGTTGGGAGAGTATTTAGAATCTGTTTTAGCACTTTTAAAAGTAGACCAAGCTTTATCATTAAGTGGTCACCATGTAATACACTAGACCACTAAAGTGTATTCCTCCAGTCTAACTGAAACTTTGTAGCTTTTGATCAAGAGCACCAAAGCCAATGGAATCTTTCCATAAATGATAACTTGGTTATTAGATTGTGAAGGAGCTCTAAAGGCAAGTTTTCTGGATGCTGAGCATGTCAGTTGGCTACACTTACTCTGTGGCAAGATTTGGTTCAGGGGATAGAACATAATTTAGTTCCAGAAAAAAAGAGTATAGTCTTGTCTGTAAATGCTACCTTCTGCCCTTAAGATCAGAGAGTTTACTATGTGTACATAATACTTCAAAAGGATGGGGAAATCTTATTGCAAGAAAGTGGCAAGGGCAGCTCTGACCAGGTTCAGCAAGATGCTCAGCAGGACCTGGGTAAATAAACACTGTAAATATAGGGACCTTTCTTCCTGGCACACAGGGAACACTAGGAAATCTGCCTTAGCCAACCAAAATGTAGGTGAGTAAGTATGATTTTTGCTTAGTTCATTTTAGAACACTTTTAAGTAAATCTTCAAAAAATAAAAAGCTCACTCCTTTCTAAGGTTGAAGGTAAAGGAAATTACTATTCCTATCTGGGGCTTTAGAAACTGAGATCTTGACAGGACAGGACATTATGGGAAGGTTGAACCCTGTTAGATCAGATCTTCTATTGTATAACTGTCACCTCCTTGTTGTGTGGCCTAATGTGTAATAACTGGATCGCTATCCAGGAAATAGATCTCTCTCTCTCTCCCCCCTTTCCCTCTCTACCTTCTCGTGTGTGTGTGTGTGTGTGTGTGTGTGTGTGTGTGTGTGTGCGCGCGTGCGTGTGTATGTGTGTGTCCTAACTGGGTTACTAAGTACAATAATTTTGTGAAAGAATTGGAATTGAAATTGATTGGTCCAGCCTTGTACAGTGCAGGCAGGCCTCTTGGCTTCTCTTCTCTCTTTCTGTTGTCCCTTTATCTGATTTTATCTGGTCATTTCACTTTTGAATAACATTTACCAAAGAGTGAGCCAGGAGGATGAAAAGATAGGAAAGTCACATTAGATAGTGTGCAGAATAATTTTGATAAAAGCCTCAGAAGAGAATGCAGCTATAATTAACAGTAAAATGAAACTCCGAATTCCTGGTGGATTTAGGTTTGCTCTCCTCTCATAATCCTTTGTTCCTGGGGAAAAAAAAAAAAACCCGAGCTAAATGATGCCAAACATCTAGTGAAAGCATACTCCTTTTGTTTTGCCAAAGAAACCAGGTCCACGGGTGGGTGGCAACAGTATCTAATACCTTTGCCCGTTTCAGTTTGCAGCGATGACCTGACTCACAAATTCAAAGGTTTTACTGTGATGAATGAGGCAGAGAGATATGAAGCTCTCAGACACTGCCGCTACGTGGACGAAGTCATCAGAGATGCACCATGGACTCTCACGCCAGAGTTCCTGGAAAAACACAAGGTAATTGTCTTTCTCCCACATTTTTCCTGTAACAGGATTAGGACTCTGGCTCTGTAGCTGAGACTGCAAGAAACCAAGAGACTCTCCCTGTTTCTTAAAGGGGAAGCTTTAGGGGCCAACATGTAGCATCACTAGAGGTAACACCTCTATTTTGCCCAAAACTAAGGACTGTCATCATTTCCTTGCCTTGAGTGCAGGTATTAGAGCTGGGCTAGCCAGATCCAATGCTGCCTCCATCTTTCTTTAGCTAGAGAACCATGAGCAAGGTTCTTAATTACACTGGACTCAGTTACTTCACCATAGAACTGGATGAGACTGCTGTCCTCCTTGTGGGACCATTTTTAAGGAGCTAATGAAAGAATCCAAGTAAAATACTTGGAAAGCTGGCTGGCCCGTGACAGGAGCTCCAAGGATGCCATTGTTCCTGTCATCACCAGCATCATTGTTGGTCCTCACAGACTCACAGGCATCCTTAGGCATGGAACTAATGAACACACATCTTATCTGGGAGGTCAGGGGTGAGGCTTTAAGGAAAGAACTTTATAGCTATGATTTTGTGACTCTGAGATTCCTACTGACATAAGATTTTTATTAGTTGAAAACATGAGACATTCTTTTGATCTGCATCAAATTATGCTCTTTGTATCTGCCTACCAGCCCCACACTAGGAGCTATTCTTTCCTTTTATAAGCAGTACAAAAAAATAAGATTAAGCTGTTCTAAGAATTTTCTTTTCTATTTTTAAATTCGCAATGCAGAAGAGAATAGAGAACACTGATAAATGTGCATGGGTAATAGCAGAGGAGACAATTTCCTGGTGAGAATGAAAAGAAAAGAAGAAAAACTACAATATGATTTACTACCAGTAATCATACTTTTTTACTTAGCATATATTGTATATTCAACATACGACAGGCATTTTAGAGGATACTAATAATGACCATGATGGATGCCATTTATTATTTACCATATGCCCAGCACTGTGCAAAGGACTTTGCTATTATATAAAGTGAGTTCAGTGTCATGGCTACCCTGAGTTGTTATTATTATGCATTGAAGAGGGGGAACTAAGCTTGAGTACTGAGGACAGCTTTAGTAACAACAATAATGAAATATATATTGAGTATTTACCATGTATCAGTTTCTATTTTTTAAGCAGTTACATATCATTAATCCAGACATTCTTCCTTGAATTTTCACCCCAAAAGGCATTGTCTGGAAACATTGCTAGGGAGTGCCACTGACATCTAGTGGGTGGAGGTATGAGGTGCTGTTCAGTGTCTTCCAATGTACAGGACACCTAGACACACATACCCAAGATTACCCAGCCACTAATGTCACTGGTATTGAGGCTGAGGAATCCTGATCAAATTATTCCTTCCAGTTTATGAGTTTTATAACTTGTAAATGCTAGGTAGCAATGATACACTGGCAAATTAAACTGCTAATCTAAACGGCCTCATGGGGTGGAATAAAGGCTGACTGTAAAGGCCTTTAAAAGCTCTGCAGAGGATGTTTACCTGGTGTAGTAGGAAACAGGGGTGAAGATAAGCAGGCATGCAGAGCAGAGGAAAATTGTTCAAGAAGGCATATATGCTAGTTACTTGTCTCATTGTTGCCACAAAATATTTCAGCAAAGCTAAACCCGCCCCTCCATGCCAGTGGTAATGTCCTTTGTCTCTTTCTCCAACAGATTGACTTTGTGGCTCATGATGACATTCCATATTCCTCCGCTGGCTCTGATGATGTTTATAAGCATATAAAGGAAGCAGGTGAGGCATTTTCCTGTCCCCCCACAGCACACAGCCAAGCAGAAGACAATAGCTGCTCTAGGCCTACTGCGTGTATAAACAAAGTGTTGGAATGCTCACTATCACTGAAGCAGCCAGGTCTGTACGGTCCTCTTTGCAAGAGCTCGCTCAGGACTCAGGAGGATTTGGTAAGAACTGGGGGCCCGACACATTTCAGTCACAACCTTGCTTTTAAGGAGTTCAAAGGAAAGAAGCTGCGGAGAAGCTGAGCAACACTGTGCAGAGGGGAATGAGAATAAACCCTGTTGGTGCATGAGTTATATCATGATGGGTCATGGCATGGGGGATGAATACCTTCTTAAGTTCAGAGCTGCCGGCGAATCTATTTTCAGATTCGTGAAAATAGCAGCAGAGACATAGACCAGGATCAGCTAAGAGACCCCAAGGTTAACTGCATTACTGGTCAAGAATTCCTTAGCTACCTTGGACATCTGGTAGTAGTTTCCTCCCTGGGTGAGTAGTCTCTAGTAAAGGAGGAATAACAAAATGACTCCCAAGGTAGTGATTTTAAAAGGCTGATTTTGCTCATGACTTCTGTGGAGCAGGGTCTTAATGGGGGCCTTGTCTGAGTGTTTTCTTTTATTTATTTTTTTTTGTAACAGACTCTTACTCTGTAGCTCTGGCTGGCCTAGAAATTACTATGTATATTTGGCTGGCCTGGAACTCCCAGAGATGGCCTACTCCTGCTCCCCAAGAGCTGGGATTAAAGGCATTTGCCACCATGCCTGTTGTGTGTTTGTTTCTTTTAATGCAGTACTGAGAATAAAACCTACAGCTTCTCATGTACTGGACAAGCCCTCTATCATAAGGCTGAGCTTCTTGCTTGACTCTTTGGAACTGCTCTAGCTAGATGCTGATAGGCACTGCCGTCATCTAACTGTAAGGTAGGAGCTCAGCTGTGTTTGGCTTCTCCCAGCATGAAAGCTGGGAGCACCTATCTACAGAGCAGGCACATTTAACAGGTTCCACAAGGCTTCCTGGGGCCTACCTTGGAAGTCACACACCATCATCTATATAATGTTTAAGTATAAGCAAGTCACTGAGGCTAACCCAAATTCAAGGGAAAGGTAGTGTGGGCCTCTTTGAAAAGTTCTTTTTCTCTATTCTTATTTTTTGTATGTGTGTGTATATAACTCTTTGTAAAACATTTGCTTTTTAAATTTATTCCTTGAGAGTTTCATACATGTATACAGTGTATCTTGATCATGGCCAACTCAAATACTCTCCACAGCCTTCCAAGCCCCCCCCCCACACCAATACCCTCATCTTCTACCTGCATGGCCTCTTTTTTAAAAAACTGCAATCCACTGGGTCCAATTACTGCTGCCCATGGGGCCATGCAATGGAACATAGGCAACTTACCAACGTAAGCCTTCACTACAGTTCACTCTCTAAAGTAAAGAGTCAGGTAGTGGTTTGTTTCCCTAGAAGTGCAGGCCTAAGACTAAAGGTATGTGACTTCATTTTCCCAGCGATCCTTCCTATGGTCCATGAATCTACTCCACTAAGTCCTCACCAGGAGGAAGAGTCACTGTAAAGATGGAATTGGGATATACACAGAAAAGGCCATGGCGTGGCCACTGTGGAAGAGAAGTCTCAGAAGTCATCTGAGCACCCAAAGGCAGCTTTTATACTCTGGTTTATTTGGAGAGTCAAAAATCACTTTAAACGAAGCCAAGATATCATGCATATAAATTAAACAGTGTGACACTGGGCTCTGTTTGTCAGAACTGAAGTGTCAAAATCCTCTAGCAAAGCTGGATGGAAAGATGGAGCTGAGATGAAATAGACTGTAAGGTCCACGTTACTCATTATCATTCTGATAGTGCCTACTACTGTTGAAAGTTGCTTTATTAACATGTGCTTTGCTGCTTCTTAAAATAGCTCCATAACCAAATGCTGCAATTCTGAAAAGCATGATAAAAAAGGTTCTCTGATCATGCTCATTACTGAATATTTTTAGCAGAGCAATAATTAGGATTTGGAGGAAGCTGGGTGCCTCATTATGTCAGCAGAGGGCTTGGCTTCTTTCAGAGACCTACCTCTCAAGCAGCCAAAGCAAATTCCCCCAGCTCCAAATCTGTTTTCAGACACTCAGCCATAGAGTCCCAAGTCTCTGACTTCAGACAGGGCAAGCTCATGTCCCCTGTGTCTAAGTGACTTGCTAAATTCAATTAGTAGCTAAAGAACCTTCACATTTCATCAATCTTAAAGAAGATATGATGGAGTTTTTCCCCGGTAAGTCTTCAACTGTTCCAATGAAGGTGAGGATGTTGTCCCAGACCTGCTGGCTTGTGGTCACATGAGAACCCATCACCTACCAAACCCCTGATCCCATACTTGGTCTAGTTGGAGTTCCCTTTGCATCCATGTGGTTAAATGTTTGCATTTTTTGTCATCCATTTCATTTTTATTCGTTTGGTTTCATCCTCCTAGAAGATGATCATAGTTTCCCACCTAGTGGCCAATGCCAACTTTGTCCTCTGATGCTGTCTCCAAGATCAGCAGTACTCTCATGCTGCTGACACTGTGAATGTGTAGGTGACATGTTTTTAAAGGTCCCAAAGGGACGCCTTGGGGCAGCAAGACAGAAACATTCAGAGAGAATTGGCTTTGGAAGGGGGTTCAGCATCAGTATTCATCTTGTCGTTCATTCAGCAGATATTCTGGTAGTGCCTGCATGTCACCTGCTTTGAGACTGTAGAAGCAAACAAGAAGGGTGTGGTTTTGTCCCTCATCCAGATCATAGGCCAGAAAGACAGTTGCTAATGGAAGTGTTCCATCAAAGTCCTTGCAGTATTTGAAGGAAAAGACCAGTGGGGCTGACAAACAGGAAGACTTGCTTTGGGAGTTGAGACTTAGTTTCCCTGACACTAAACCTGAAACCCAGTGGGTGACCAAGAGTTAAGCAGACAGAGATTTTGACAGAGAGGACAAGAGCTGATAGTTTTAGGACACTAAAGAAGCCCGGTGTGGCTAGGTACAGGCCCAACTTCATAGACTATGTCTTAGTTAGGGTTTCTACTGTTGTGAAGAGACACCATGACCATGGCAACTCTTAAAGGTGAAAACATTTAATTGGGGTGGCTTACATTTTCAGAGGTTTAGTCCATTATCATCATGGCAGGACATGGTGACCATCCAGGCAGACATGGTACTGGAGAAAGAGCTGAGAGTTCTACATCTTGATTTGCAAGCAACAGGAAGTAAACTGTGTTCCACACTGAGCATAGTTTGAGCAAAGATTTCAAAGCCCACAGTGAAATACTTCCTCCAACAAGGCCACACCTACTCCATACCTAGGCCACACCTCATAACAGTACCACTCCTTATGAGTTTATGGGGGGGATTACATTCAAACTACCACAGACTATAAACAAAACAATCCCAGCCCTTTGTACAGTACAGGATCCTCAGCTGAGAGTGTAAAGAGGAGAGGCTGGAGATGAGACTAAGACTAGAAGGAAGCACAGGAAGGGGACCGTGTAAACTGTGGTAGAACCAAGTTAAAGGCTTTATTCTAAACACGGTAGAAAGCCAATGAAGAAGAATAGGCCGGCATGCATGCAACTTAGCTGTTCATGTTTAAGTGGGCAAAAAAAACGACATCACTGGAGCTGAAGAGATGGCTCAGTGGTTAAGAGTGCCTACTGCTCTTGCCAAGGACCTGGGTTCAGTTCCTGCCATCCATGTCAGTCAGCTCTCAACTGCTTTTAATTCCAGCTCCAGGAATCTGATACTCTTGTTTAGCCTCACTGGGTACCTGTATTCATGAGCTTGCTCGCACACGCGTACACACACACGCGCACTCGTACACACACACGTGCACGCGCACACGCACACACGCGCACACACAGTACCTGTATTCATGAGCTTGCTCGCACACGCGTACACACACACGCGCACGCGCACACGCACACGCGCACACACACACACACAGTGACATTGCTAAGGACTGATTTTGAGGCTCTTGATGTAATCTTTGAACAAGTTGGTTTAGGTTTGGCTAAAGAAGGAGAAAAGTGGTTGAATTAGGGAAGCATCTGAGGAACGAGTTTGTTATTATACATTGATTTGGATATGGTCAGTGGGGAAGAAAAGTGGCCCAGATTTATCTAGCTAACTTCTTAGTTGAGGGAAACTAAGGTCAAGTAACTTGCCTTCAGAGGTATAAGTGACTCGCCACAAACTGACAACACAGTGCCCTTGTCCTCAGGCTCTATCATGCTGCTGATATAGGACAGATCTAAGTGGTCGGAATGATATGGACTAGAAAGTTCTCAATTTTCAACACATGATTTTGGTTGACAACAGAATTTTGAGCATGAATTCAGTTCTTACTGTGTTGGCATCTGTGACCCTTGTGTAGCCTGTGTTGCTGGTAAACGCCAATATGTCTTTGACTCTCAGGACATCTAATAGAACCATCAGAACTTGGCCTCCTTGTGCTTGTTTATTTCCACTCTTCTCCACATATTGCAGATGAAAGTGTCTTGGAGTGGTGAAAGTGCCATGCAGGAGAGTATTCTTAGAGGAGATAAGATCATCTAGCACATCACTGACATACCCTTAGACAGAGACAACAAAAAACCCTTCTCCTGTGGGGATAATGTGACGCAGACTTCCAGAGGGAAGAAGATTCACTGTGATCTGACTCATTCATTGCCCCAGTTGTTATTATTCATTCACTTACGCATTCCCTTTGCATTTATTGAGCACTTTCCATGTGCACTGATCTGGACACTGACGATGTGAAGACAATCAAGGCATAACTACCTTCAAACTATCCACTTCTGTTTTTTTTAAAGAAACAAAAAATTTTCCAACACTGTCACCTAAGCTCAACACACACACACACACACACACACACACACACACACACACACCCATTGCTGTACATAAAACACACACACACACACACACACACACACACACACACACACATTGCTGTACAGAGACAGGTATCAGACATTTGGTTTTGTTAACTGAAGATACCATTATGTCCAAAATGCTATGGGTTCTCGTGTTAATTTCAGGAAAGACTTCATGAAGCACAGCCTTAAAGGTGAACCATTGAGGGTGAGGAAGAACTCTGTGGATGACAGGGGTGGGAAATGGGTGCCTAGGGTAGAAATGAAGAGCTGAGCATGACCAAATGTCAGGAGTCAGATGAGTGGATGGTGACTCCTGGACCAAGCCTGGGATGATGCCTGTCAGCTGGGGCCAGAAAAGGAGACTTCCCTGGCTCCCCAGAAGCTCCAACTTTATCCAGAAAAAAAAAAAGGATCATTAAAGGAAAGAGGCTAACTAAGGTTATCCCATCTTTATCTTTTTATTCTTACTTGGACAGGCATGTTTGTTCCAACACAAAGAACAGAAGGCATCTCAACATCAGACATCATCACCAGAATTGTCCGTGACTATGACGTGTATGCCCGGCGCAATCTCCAGAGAGGATACACAGCTAAGGAACTCAACGTCAGCTTTATAAATGTAAGTGTGCCTTCCCATGTACTCTGAGGGCCACCACATTATATTATCATGAGTGTTATTTACTGTGCACTGTGTAGTGCCCTTAATGCTTTCCATTATTGTCTCATTTAATCCACATCAAAACCCCAATGGTGTGTTTTAGATTTTAAGAGAGGGTCTCACTGTATTGCCCAGGCTGGCCCCCAAATCATAACTCTCTTGCTTCAGCTTCCCAAGTGCTAGATATACAGACATGTACCAAACACACCTGGCTCAGTAATGATATATATATTTACAACTGAGGAAACCAGTGTTCAAACATGAGTCAACCAAAGAGCATAGGCAGCTTCACATTTTATAATGGAGCTTCCTTGTTTCCCTCCCCTGCCCCCAAACCCCCTCTTTAGTTTTCAGATGTGGCAAAGGGTTTCTGGAACATCTGCCCCTTGGGGAAGGCAAGTGTTGTCTTCTCAAAGGAAAGGAAGGCGGGCGGAAGCAATGAGATGCTAAGCCCAGAGAAAATGCTTTCTTGTTTTAACGTTTTACAATTTTCATTTTATTAAGGCCTTACAGATGCTCATTAGAAACCTTAACAGCCGTTTTTTATTGTCCAGAGAAATTACAGCTGCTTAAATAAAGCCTGAAGCCTTTGGCTTCCTTTTGTATTTCTACCTTATTGTTCCCACAGAGCTGCTGTTAGTTTAATAATAGAGCGCTGTTAAAACAATCTTTAAAACAAGCAAAACAAGCTGTTACAAGGCAAAGAGAGTAGCTGGATGGTTGGGGGGTGATGTTAGTGAGTCTGGACCACTGAGGTTACCAGGCTTCCAAGGAGCCCATGATTTTGATCCAAACAAATGCTCTCCATGCATACAGAATTCCAGCCCCCAAATAGATACTGTATTCTCAAAGGGTGACTTGTCTGCAAAAGTAGGCATTTATAATTATGTGCAGCTCTAATTATCTAGCATCTTGCACAACTGATCATTGGTACCTTCAAAATGGGAGGGGCTCATTAATTGTAAGTCAGTGATTATTCATTGTCCCGATAAAGCAGGGAGTGTTGGGATCCAGGCCCCTCTAACTTCATACAAGCCAGGCAACAAAATGGAAAATGCCGGGTTCGAGTGGCACCCGAACACGTGGCTGAAAAGAATTCAGCTAACGTGATGATTTGGTATCTTAGAGAGAATAAAGCCCTGGTTATTTCAATAAATTAAACTGTCTGTTCTTTTAAATTGAATTCAGTCAACCATCCAAGCATAGCAAGCCATTTCCAAAAGTTATTGCTCACTCTCTTTAAATGGTCTTTAGATAAGCCACTTAGCTCAGGGAACCGTGAGGACAGTGGGGGTGTGCTTACTGCCTTTCTGTGACAACAAGTCTGGCTGCAGCTCAGCGAGGAAATTGAATGTGTTGGATGGGCGTGTAAATGAATCACGGAACCTCAGAAGTGGCAGAGACCTGATGAAGACCAGTCATCCAATCCATGTCCCTTGACTTTGAGATAAGGAAAACAGAGCCCAGAGAGTAGACAAGGCCAAGGGAGGGTGAGGGAGAGGTGGAGGTGGCAGTATACCTCCAAATCTTGTGACTCACAAGCCCAGTGCTCACTCTACTGTTATGTGCTGTCACTGAGTGCTAAACCAAATAGCCATTTCCAGTGTTGAACAAAATGTGGAAGAGCATGATCTGAAGACAACAGCTAACACTTATCCAGAGCCCATCACATGCCCATCTAAGTGTCTCGCCTGCATTATCTCCTTTAATACTTGTGATAAGCCTACTGGGGGCGTGTAATGACACTATTCAACTTATAGGGGGAAAACAGAAGCCAAGAAAGTTAAACAACTCACCTCAGACCACACTGTAAATGACAGAAGACAGTACCTTCCTGTAGCACATATGTATGTCTATATAGTGCACTAGCAACACACCTAGCTCCTACCCAGCCCCACCCTGAGGTTGCAATACAGTTTTGGAAGGTCTAAGTTGGAGAATCTTGACATAGTTTCCTAACATTTGAGGTATTTTACACAATTCTAAAGTACAAAATGAGATTGATTTCCAGTCAAGAAAAAAAAGTATCCTCTGATTCCTTTAGAGACAACATTGAGATTTCAAAAGAGAAGACCCTTTGTGTGATATTATTTTCATTGTTTAGATAACATGTTTATTAGGTAATGTAGATAAAAGTCTATGATGCTTTGTGACAACAGTGTAGCTAATATATGTGGAGCCAATGCCAGGCTTTGAGCTACACATTGGCATGCATGACCTTACCTGGTCGTCACAACAACCCTGTGAGGTAGGGACGATTATCATCACTGGTTTATTGATGAGAAAACTGTGGCTTAGAGGTGACTAGTGTTTTGGTTGACACAATATGGCTTCCTGGAACACAGGTAGACAACATTATTGTATAAAGTCTCTAAGCACAAATATCCAGAGAAGTGATCAAAATAAAAGCTTTCTTTATATCCAAGGAAACCAACGAAGTTTAATTAGCCTCATGAAAAATATGGTAATGAAAATTTTAGCATGAGACATGGGTCCTACGCTCAGTCAGTGGACAAGTCAATATAAACAGTATTGGTTTTAGCACTACATCAGTAAAAAAGAATTTTCAGGCAGACTCTGAGCAGCCATACTATACACAATGCATCATTTTATCTAAGTTCCAGAATAATTGAGTAGGGTTATTTGCTCAGTAAAGAGTAGTTCTGTAGTTTTGTATTCTGTTCTCATATGGTTTCAACTCATAGATGTTGAACAGATTGGACATAGGTACATTTTTATTTTCCTTTATATATTCAAAGAGATTGATGTGCAAGACATGTGCTTTCCAATCAGTCTGGCCAGTGGGAAATAATGACATCTACTCTTTACATTAGGAGCACCCCAAGTTGATATAAATTAGAATCAATAGAGATGGACTTCTCTGCTGTTCTGTTGAACCAATGTATTCCATCGATTTTAACCAGGAGAAGAAGTACCGTTTCCAGAACCAAGTGGACAAGATGAAAGAAAAGGTCAAGAATGTGGAGGAAAGATCAAAGGAATTTGTTAACAGAGTAGAAGAAAAAAGTCACGACCTAATTCAAAAATGGGAAGAAAAATCAAGAGAATTCATCGGCAACTTCCTGGAACTATTTGGGCCAGATGGTGCATGGGTATGTAGTTATTTTAACTGGTGTTGAAATGGCAGGTATTTTCAGCTTATCTTCCTTTCATGGAACTACTCCAGGATGTCCTTTATCCAGTGGCCTCTCCTCGAACATCATTTCAAGTCACTCCAAGTCCATGTCCTTATTCAGTTACTGATTCATCCCTCGGTATGGTACCAAATGGCACATTAAGTAGGGTCCTCTCCGTTTCTGTTTCTTGGCTATGATGGAAGCCAGAAAGCCCCAGCAACCCTCCTGTCTCAGCCAATAAGAGTACTTGCTGCATAATCATGAGGACCTGGGTTTGAAGCACAGCACCTGTGTAACAAGCCAGCCATCCTGTACACAGCTGTGACCACACATCTAAGTGTGGAGAGATAAGACAGGTTGCTGGGGCTTTCTAGCCCCAAGCTAACTTTCTTTTTAAAAGACAAAGAAGTTATTCCATTTGCTTTCCTTAATTCAGTTTTTTTTTTTTTTTTTTTTTTTTTTTTTTTTTTGAGACAGGGTTTCGTTGTATTGCTTTGGAGCCTGTCCTGGAACTCCTTCTGTAGAGACAGGGTTTCTCTGTATTGCTTTGGAGCCTGTCCTGGAACTCCTTCTGGAGACCAGGCTGGCTTCGAACTCACTGAGACCCGCCTGCCTCTGCCTCCCAAGTGCTGGGATTAAGGCATGCTCCACCAACACCTGGCGCTTTCCTTGTTATGATATGAGGACTCTAAGGAATCTAATCCACTTAATGATTTTATTTTTGGGTTGTTAGTAGTGTCTTTGCTCGTTTGAGTTCATTTGTTATAGGATTGTCTAGAAGTAAAATACTCAGTTATTAATAGAGAAAGAACAATGTTCTGAGAGTTTGAAGAGATGCTTAAAGTCCATTGGCCTCTACCGTGTTATAGAAGGTTTTGTAAGCTACCTATATTCTATCTGTAGACTGAGTTTGAAAGGAAGGGCTAATTGAGCTATTAAGACCTCCCAGTGAGGACTGGCAGGAGAGCAGAAACCATGCACTGGGCTCTGTCTCACCTTTTTTGGTTCATTTTCAGTTCAGATGATTTAATTCATGGCTCATTTATTACTGTTCTTGTCTATGCATGACACTAGGGAAGAACACAAAGACAAAGTGAATACCCATTCTCTGATCATTAGTATATGAATTCTGAACTTGCCCTTTTGATCCAGGGTATTCCTTAGTACTTTGATTCTTCACAATTTTCTGACTCTGAAGAAACAATGAGTGGTTTTTAATGAAGCCACATAACAGTTCATTTGGTTACAGTGCTACGGCAGTGTGACTCTGTCAGAAGCCCCCAGATTGTAGCTCACTGGGTGGATAACTGGGTGGATACTTTCTACACCTGCAGTGAGCAAAGGCAGGCAAAGGATATCATTTCATCGCAACGTTATACCCCAGGCTTTTCAGGCTCCCAGCAAAGGTGAAAAGGCAGCTGGAATTGTTCTTAGGAAGTCTGGTGACAGCGAGCGGAGGTGAGTCTTAAGAAATGAATCCCAGCTTAGAGACTGGAGGTTTTTCTTTTAAAAACTTGCTATTAGTGTCAAAACTGTTATTAACATTAATTTACTGTATCAGCCAGACTTAGACATTACTTTTTTTCTGTTGACATTAAAAGTACAGGAATAGTTACAAGGATGTTAAACGCCAAGATAAGTAATTTGCTTTTCATGAATATGCTATTATTATAATAATTCTTTATTTGTGGATTTGTGACTGGAACTCATTTCTTAAAACAGGGGATCTGCATTACCTGCAGTACATGTACTGCAAGTACAGTACTGATATAAATAATGTAGACTTAGAAAGGCACAAAATAGAAAGATTTAAGGTCCAAAATTTGGTACCTCGGGATTGGTGCGCAGCTTTGCATGTGCTTTACAGTTGGTTCTGCACACAAATGGCTCTTCATTGAGTGCATGAAGGATGGATTATGAGGAGTACATATTCACACACCTGCCTCACATCTGCAAAAGACAGAGTGAGGCCCAGCTCTCCAGATACACAGTCTTCCTTTGCTTATGGCCTGGGTACAGTTTAGTGTTTGGGGGCTCACACCCAATAGCCAGAACTTTACAATCAATTCCACAGCAGCCTGTGCTATGTGAAGACCAGGCCAGTCTAGGCTACACAGTGAGAACCTGTCTCTAAAAACAACCAAAACAAAAGCAGACTGACTTGATTACTTGATTTTCTTGGTGTTTATATTTCTTGGAGGAAGAATTTGACTTGCTAAGTATCATGGTCATATCATTTTCATTGCTTCCTCTGCCTTCCCGAACCTGACACACATATTTATGCTGCTGAGGTGGGCCAAAGGAGTATTTGAAATTGCTTCTTATCTATAGTGGGAGAACACTACACAAAGATGTAAAGAGCAGGAATGGGGCCCTAGGAGGCTATTTTGGAGGCTGTCTGCCACAATGACAATTTTAAGAATTTAAAGCTAGCAAACTATTCACTGCTGTAATCGATTTTCCAATTCCTGCTTATTCAGTCTGACTGGTGGGATATCAGGGCCCAAATCATTATTTTTTTTTACTTACATCATTTTATGTATTTAACTACTATTAATTGATTCTTCTAAGTTGTCTTAAGACATACTCAGAAGGTGACCTATAATCCATCCCAAATGGCAAAGGGAAGCCTTCCATTAATGGTGTTAATAAGTTTTACATTACTGTAACAAAACACCTAAGGCTACTTAAGAAGACAAATTTATTTCATGCACACTACCGAGGTAAGTTTAATTTAATATAAATGAACATTTTAGCTAGTAGTTGTCTTTAACATGTGCACCATGTGTAACACATTCTTAGGATGTGTGTAGTAAATAAAGCTTTCCTTATGAGAGAGAGAACAAGAAAGAAAAAGAGAGGGAGAGGAACAGAAGACAATAGAAGTGTTTGGGAGGCTTTGGGGCTTGTGGTGTGGTGGGGCGCACATCATGGCAGAAGAGTGTGGGAGGAAGTTACTCACCTTGTGGCACCTAAAGGAAGGGAGAAAAAGGAAAGAAAAGGGGGGCAGCATTCACCAACAATGATGAGAAGACTCCTCATTTGGCCTCTCTTTTGAAAATTTCTGGCTAGCCTCCCAATAGAGCAGTCTGAAAGAACAAGCCCATAATATATGGGCACCTGGGCGGATGGTCCAGATCCAAACAGTAACACCTTTTAGACAGAGACTCAGTATTACCTCTCCGTGTGTGTATTGTCTCTGAATTACCCATTGTCTCAAAAGAAGAGCTCTAAATGAGCTTAACGTTGAAGCATGATTGCTTATGTTGGGGCTGATGCTGTTTGTCTCTGAAATGGCAGTTAGTGAAGGATGCTGGGTTAAGGGATGTTGGCCCAGCATGCACGGTTTGCTTTGGGTATTGGTCTTCTTAAGGCAGCTTCGTTATTTTTGTTTGAAGCATCTGAAATCACGGAGCAGACACATTCTATTTAAATATTAGCACCTCATTCACAGGCTGGTGTTATGATATCAGTTTAAATGATCTGCCACTGTATTCCTTTATTCTCTAAAAACAAAGTTCTTTCCTGTTGTTTAGAATGAAATGAATCCATTTTATTTGACCAAACATGGACCCTTTCCTTTAATACCCAAAGACAAAGATCTCAAGTCCAATGGAAATTTTTAGTTCATTTTAGACCAGGTTTATTTAAACCAGTTTATCATCTTGCCCCAGACTAGTCCAACAGATCCCACGCCAACCAGACAGTCATGTGCCATTTGTTACATGCACTTGTTTTGTTTGTTTTTTCAAAAGACTGTGGAGGTGAATTGGGAATGGGGAATATATATAATACAAGGTCCACTGCTGTTTTTGTTAAATTGTGGCAAGTCCTGGCTATGCCTGGAACTTACTTTGTACACCAGGCTGGCCTTAAACTCACAGAGATTCACCTGCCTCAGTCTCCCAAGTGCTGGGATTAAAGGTGTGCGCCACCACCACCCAGTTTAACTTTTTATTTTTATTTCAGGTCTGAATATCAAAACCTCATGCATGCTAGACAAGTGCTCTACCACTGAGCTACACCACCAGCCCTCATTTTAACTATGATCAAGCAAAGGGTAGTTTTAAGTACGTTCATACCAGCATGTTAAGTATCACCACCATCCATCTCCAGAATGTTTCCACCATATCAAACAGATACTGCTCCTTATAAGCACAAACTTCCTGCACACAAGCTGCTGGAAAACACCCTCCTACTTTCCCTCTGAATTTGACTGATTATTCGAGGTAGCTCATATAAGTCGAATCATACAGTATTTGACCCTGTGTCCTTGCATCTGACTTATTATACTTAATACATTCAAGGTTTACCAGTGTTGTAGCATAGATCAATGTTGTAGAAGCTTTGAAAAGTGTGCACACCGTATCTGCTTTATCCATTCCTCTATTGGTGGACACTTGGGTTGTTGCCTGTGGTGATATCTTGTTTGTACAAATAAACTCTGTCTGAAGGACAGAGAATGGAGCTTGCCACTACCTGTGGATTCCTTCCAGACTAAGGAAGGCCCTTCCAGATCAAGAAAGACCCCCTGAAGCAGTGTCCCAGGTTATCCATCATCCAAAACAACTAAAACCATACAGCCCCCACAGAATACTACAGCCAAGATTTGGCCAGGGTTCTGGGTTTTCTCAGGATCCCCTTGGGATTTAACAGCACCCCACATTGGGTGCCAAATTGTAACAGAAATTATTAATTGGTCTAAGTAATGAAAACCCAGAGTCAGACATAGAGAAAAATACTAAGAGATCAGAGAAAAGGAGCAAGCCGCCACCACACCTTACATCCTTAGCTTCTCAACAGACAAGAAAGCGGATTCCCGTCTCCTCTCGCCATCTCACTTCCTATCTGTCTGTACAGACCTCCAGACCTCTATGGTTAGCTAGTGGCAAACTCCATTCTCTGACCTTTAAACAGGGTTTATTTGTACAAAGCAAGATATCACCACAGTTGCCACTTTTGGCAGTTGTGAATAA